CCGGTTCTGAGTTGGGAATGAGGGCAATCGGCGCTTTGGGGGCTTAATTGTCGGGAGCCGCAGAAAACTTGCTCGTGGTGTTGCGGGTCTGGATTGCAAGCTTTACGGAGGCACTTGGAATTCCCGGTGTGCTTACATGTTATATATGGCGGTGAGTTTTTTTTCCGGGCTTGTAACAGGCACCGGGGGGTCCCTCCGCGACAAAGGTTTGTAACAGACCTGCCGTGTCCGCGACAACCCTCCCCGCGACAAGGCTACAACCCCCCCCCCCCCGACAAGACAGCAATACCATTGAATTTTCTCATTGCCAATCTCGATGCGACCTTGATGCGTGTCTGCAGCAACTTTCACTCTAAGTCCGCGACAAGGCCTGCGACAGGGCGCGACATACCCGCGACAACCCGCGCGACTGCTCGAGCCAGCAGGTGCCCATCCGTAGGACAACCTTGAACGAGAAGCCCAGGGTTTATACTTACAGGGTTCAGGCTTTAATGGCTCTCCGGTAAAATCCCTGCGGTCCCTAAACCCTTCATCCGAAACCCCAACCCTAAACCTAAACCCTTTTACCCTAAAGCCTTACAAAACCCAACTAAGAAAATTGGGTTCAAAGTAGCGGCGCGACAAAGGTATGAAACAACCTGCCCGCGACAAGGCTTGTAACAGAGGGACGGGGGACCCCCCGCGACAACCCGAATTTTGACCCACTGCCATATGTATATATACAAAATAGTAGCATTATTTATATGTATATATTTTTGATATGTATATATATATATTTATGTTTATGCAATTATATATGTATATTTATTTATTTATATGTGTCTTTTTTATAACGTTTGCCACGTGCACAGGAGGCCTTGGTCAAGGAGGCCCGGTCTGGAGGCTATGGCATCGACCAGGAGGAGTCAAGCCTGCGCAATCGCAAACTGGCCTATTTGGGGTTTAGGGTTTAGGGGTTTGGGGTTTGGGGTTTAGTGTAGCCCTTGGAGTTCAAACGACCTGGCAAATCTAGTGCATTTCCCAGTTTTTCGGTCCGTGGTGAACAAGGCCGTGAAACGACAGTGAGAGAGATGAATGGTATGGTTTCTTGGGTCTTTGAGGCGGTAGCAACTAGATGAATTAAGGGCCACGTTCCAGGATGAAAAGTTGGAGCCATTGCGTCACGAGAAGTGGGTATTTCCCAAAATAGGGGTACCCCTTTTCTACCCCAAGTAGAATTAGAATCCCCTTAAGGGGACCCCCAAAAAGGCTTCCCCTATTTTCGGAAACCAATTGAATGGGAAAGCGGACGAGAAGGAACCCAAGCTGTGGCTTTCTCAGAGTCCACCAAGATAGAGTTCATTGCCCTTTGTTCCCGATCACTCGCTGATACTATCATAGCTGTGTGAATTAAGTGAGCGCAAATAAGCTGTTACTAACCATGTATGTTTGCTTAACTTCTGCTTTTCTTATGAATGCGTGCGACACCAGAACTATTGCGCGTGACAACAGGAAAACATAAAAAGTGTAAATAATCCCCCCTTGCACATAGGATTTAGTTTTCTCCTTCATTTTGCCCGCATGAGTAAAGTGAAACATAGGTAGACTGCAATCCATTAATCATGTCGTATGAATGTGTTTTTACGCTCATTCCGTTCTCCTAATCGCATATTTATATATATACATATATATATATGTAGATATCTACTGAGGAAATTAGTTGTTTGTCTCCCGCACATTCAGAAAAATTCGTGAGCGATAGAAAGTTCAAGGGGGAGCGACAAGAAGGTCGCAAGGGGACACTGGGAATAATACAGTGAGGGTCATGAGCTCTCCTTCACAGGCGAACCCTTTGTTTTCACTGTTGTTCCAATTTCAGTATCAGAGCTTGGGTTGCAAAGGACAACAGACATCTCCTAAAACCCTTCAGGAATGAGCTGTGCTCAACTCGCTCTCTTTGGCCTCGGAATCTCGCCTGGCAATCCTTGCCCTTGGAAAAAATGTAGTATCTTGGCAGTGAATCGCTCATTCCGAAGGTCTTGAAGTACTCATTGGCTTCGAGACACGCTTTGCAGTTGAGCAGTCCTGATTGAAACGAATGCGCTGCTCTTGTGCAAGTTGTTGCGAGGGAACGCAGGTCATGATTCCACCTCCAGTTGCAAACCAATGTGGGTGGCTAGCAGCTTCATTTGTCAAGGCTGATGCATGTTCAAAACACCCTCAACCTTAACAGTGGCTTTGAAGACCATTGCGTTTGCAGGACCTGGCGAAGGACATTCCGGCTAAGTTGACCTTGCAATCGTTTCCGGGCACTCACCTCGTGCAAAGTCTACGTCAACGACAGTGCTTCTGGCTTTGCCCTCACGCTCTGATGTGATGTCTTTTGCCTGCAAGCTGCACTTGACAGACCATGGCTACAATAGACCATGTAGTGCAATGCAATATAATGAACACCTTGCAGCTTGGGTCGGGTACATTCACTTGTTCCGAGCAGCCTCAGCAAAACGACTCGTTGCCCGGGAGAATCTGCCGGAGTGAAGTTGCAGTCATTTCGAGTTCGCCGAGGGGATGGATAGACACTCGATCGGCTCACGTTCGACCCGCACCTCCCCCTCCCGGCCTCTCTCTCTTTCTCTTTTTGTTGTTTTCTTAGAACCTGCAGCAGAATGCCCTTCTTGGCCAAAGTAGACCTTCGAAACACGACTTTGGCGCGCCAAAGAAGTGTGGTATGTGTAGGCAATGCCACTCACGGCGTCTAACCGGATACTTGTAGCTTCTTCTCACGTCATCATCTTAGCCTTAGCCAAGATGCAGAATCCGCCAGCGACAGTGGGTAACATACCGAGGAGTTGGTGTGATCGTGTCAGAGTCTTGAGCCAGGTGAAGGGCCTCGAAGGGGCAGAGATGCCCCTGAGGCTGAAGGAGTTCTCAGCAGTCGACTCTGGGATGAGAGATCGCGCAATCAAGCTTTGGGCCAGGACACCGAGTTGGTGCGAAGAGTGCGCCTTCCTGGGCCGGGCTCCTGCAAACTGCCAGTGTGTGAGAGATGGATACGGCGTGTACGGTTTAGGGCTTTAGAAAGTTCAAGGGTTTACTGGTCTTGCGGGGCGAAATTGACTCCACGGCCTCAGACCTGACAGTAGGAATCCGGCTGGTCAGTCTTGACAGACCCTCAAGTAAGGAAGAGTGCTTCTCTAGTCACCTCGCTTGAGCGAAATTTCAAATGACCTTGGTCCGGCAAGTGAGCCCTTGGTTGTGGGAATGCCGTCCCATCGATTGGAGAGCATGAGGCATGTAGCTCTAGTTGGGGCCCATACTTTGGACGCCAACCAGAGCCTTGATCTCTGAGCCACCTTTCGAGTCCACCGGGAGTTCACCGAAAATGAGAAACGACCTTTTGGCAGCGTAGAGCCATGAATTGATCCCAAAGCATACGCAGAATATGTAAGTCATATATGCATGTTTGCCCAAAACAGGGGCCCACAACAAAAAGGAAGCATCGCTAAAACCTGATGGTCGGTTTCGGGTTCTCGGGTTTCGGGGTTAAGAGTCCAGGGTTTCAGGTTTTTTCTTGTTGGTTCTACTCGTGCAGTCTTATTTTCTGACTGGACGCGATCCATCCGGTTTTCGTTCGATTCATTTTCCAGGCAGCGTGACTAGGGCTTCAGTATGCTTCAGTACTTCATGGGTTGGAGGTTGCGAGCTGCGATGTGCCCCCGATTTGCAAACGCCGCTGATGACGGCTAGGTGATAACATCGCTATGCTGATCGCTACACAAAAGTCTTGAGCAGGAGTGGTGCATGCTCATGACCGGGATTTCCCTCCTTGTACTCCCGACGCTATGTAAGGTCTGCTGCAGGTTTGAAGCCTTGTCGGCCCCATTCCTCCTTTGAGGCGTGGCATTGGGTCTGCGTGGACATACACACTGTCCGGCAAGGAGTGCAGCTTTGGGTGCAGTGTGGGGGAGTGGCAGCGGCATGATGTAGTAATGATCATGTTACATCGCAGGTAGGAGATGCAGGAGTTTCGGCAGGAGAAGCCCCGCACAGCCACCCAAGATATCCCAAGATCACGGTAGTCTCAACTTCAGAGCAAGGTTGAAATTGGGTTGTTGGAAGTTGAAGCAGCAGGCCCTGATCTGATCATCGGAGAGCACTGACTCTCACACCTGTGTTGGACGATCATGGCGATGGTGGGATACAATGTGTCCGGTTCGTTCTGGGTATAGGCGGTGTATACACACGAACACAAAATTCATGGAATGCGTTGCAAGAAAACGCCCACCCACACAACGGCTCCGAAACTCCTGAGTTCAGACAGCCGCGCTTCATGGGAGTGCGTCGGCGATGTCTGAAAGGAAGCCACGCTATATGTTGAAAAGAGTGATACATGTAGTACTGTGGTGCGTGCATGCATTCATAACGATACTGGCTGCAGCCAGGAGAGATGCAGGGTGGCCTCCAATTTTAGTTGCTTGGCAAGATCATCAGTTGGCTGAAAGGGGGTGAGGGGCAGGTGGGTGAGGGGCTGAAGGGGCTAAATGCAAAACACAACGCGTCCACTGCAGAGCAGCCGGCAGGTTGCAAGGCACGTTCAGGGCCTTGCTCTTGTAAACGCCAGGGCCGGAATCTGCACCGTGGTAGTCAGGTAGGTTTTCGGCACTTGACATCTGTGTCAGCCGCATGTGCTTTGCTGCCATGACAGCTCAAGGGCTTTTGCCCCTGCATGTCTGCAAGAATTCAGGGTCCAGGTGTGGCTTCCAATTCGCCTGCTTCGTGGATGGTGTCGGCAATCTCGCGATTTGATAAACTGCCGGCACTGCCTGTGCAGGGCATCGACGGCAAGTCGCGCCTGTCTGCAATCCGAGCCTGCTGTAAGCAGACGAGATGGCAGCAAGCATTGTGCCTCTCTGTGGCGCCTGCCGAAGATGCCCATACACTCCAGGCTCTTGCAGTCCTGACTGTCCTGCTTGCTGAATCTCCCCCTCGCTAGCAAAGATGAGCGACAAACCGCAGCGGCCATGCTGCAAAGTTTCATTCCCTGCCAGGTGGCCGGCTCGACAGGGATTTCCTCCTTGGGCAAGTACATCCGCTGGCAGCCTGCCCTGGAGATCCTTGCATGCTTGAAGAGGCGTCAGGTGCTTCCAAATGTGGTTACCTACTCCGCGGCTGCTTGTATGCATTTGCACATGTTGGCATTGCTTCGGTGGGCGAAATGCTGGCCTAAACAGGCGTGGCTCTGACATGACACCGAGGCGGTCAACTCATGCGGACGAGCTGACGAGTGGCCGAAAGCCACTGCCCTCCTTCGACAGATTGACTTGGCACACGTGCGGAGCAATACCATCACTTACAACGCAACGATTTGTGCACATGACAGGACGGACAATGAAGGCTTACGAAATCGATGTAGTATCTGAGACGCCTACGGAGCTTTTCCATGTCACACACGCAATGCAAAGGATAGTGTCTGCGTCATCTTTGCTCTGATGTACTTCTTTATTAGCTACTGTAGGTTTCTTGGTGTAGCAAGGAACCGGTCGACCCCAGTGGGGTTGCTGAAATATCGAGGAAAATGTCGCGGGGGGGGGGGGGGGGGGGGGGGGGGACGGGGGTGGTATTGAGTCTATTTGTAAATTCCTTTCGAAAGCGGAGCGGGGCGGGCGGGCTCGCCATTCATCGAGTCTATCGGTACAACAGGGGGGGGGGGGTGGCGATAGATGCATGGTGGTTGCGTGATAGGTCGCATCTCTATGCGCGCGTGTTCGGAGAGGTTCACGCATCTGTATCGGTCACGGCTCGTGTGGCGGTGTGGGGTGTGTGTAGAGTGCGATTTCAATTTCTTATCGCGGTTTCTATCCCGTGCTGTTGTTGTTAGATTTCTTTCTTCTTGTTGATTGTGGTTTCACACCTGTCTCGGAGTATGGTGGTCGGGGTGTTGCAGAGTGGTGGAGCGTGGATGAGGGTGGTCCGTTTGTCCAGTGGTGGCGGCGGGGGTAGTTGTTGTGGTGGCGGTGGTGGTGGTCGTACGCGGTGTGTCAATCCAGGCTAGCATTCGTTGTCCTCGGCTTTGCCCCTCAAGAACGTGAATCATTTATGCTCGGTAATATCGCCGTTCAATTTTCTGGTGGACCCGCTAGGAATTTGATGGGGGTGCTAATTTCTCCGCTCAACCATTCAGCCAGTTTGTCTTCTGCTGGTTTTGCAACAAAAGACGTGCTTCCGCTTCAATAGTTTCTGGTCCACTCCCCGCTAGGTCCGCTAGGTTTTTGCTTTGGTTTCGCCGAACCTAGTGGATCCGCTTGAAAATACCAGTCTCGAAACTACCATGAATGCGTGCTTTTTAGGTGACCGAGTATTGTCTTTATTGATATATCTATACGAAACCCATACACTGTACACCTTGGAGGATGCAGAAATGGACCCGTGCGGAGGCGCTGCTCCAGCAACTCCAGAGGGTCGCGCTGGAAGCGGAGGTTGCACCTCTGCTCTGAACCTGGCACTCGTTGAGTGCGCGTATGCATTTGCGCGGGTGCATGGCAAGTGCAAGTGTGTGTGTGTGTGTGTGTGTGGGTGGGTGTGTGGGTGTGTGTGTGTGTGTGTGTGTGTGTGTGTGCGTGCGAGCTTGTGGGGCGGCCCGCTGGTGTGTGGGTGTTTTTTTTGAGTTGTGAGGGCCTTTTTGATGCAGTTTGTATTGTTGAATTCTTGCTGCACAGTATCTTAGCTACAGCAACACAGGAGTGTCCTGGACGCCTGAGGCTACACTCAACTCTGTCATGAACGTTTGCGAGAAGGGCAAGTTGTGGAAGCGGGTCGTGATGTTGCTTCGCACTTTGGCGCAGTCGCTCAGGCCAAACCTGGTGACAAGGAACACGGCCGTTTCTGGATCCCGAGAGGGTGGCTGGCGAGTTGCTTGGGCCCTGCTCTTTGGGGGCGAGGGAGATGGAGACTATATTCCCCTTGGGAATTATTTTTTATTTCTGATCATGTAAACCCAAGAGGACATTAAACATATTATTTTTATTAAGGTTCTAAGGGGAGTATAGGAGACCTCATTGGCTTCAATGCAGCCATGGCTGCCTGCCAGCTCCAGGCCTCCTGGTTGCAAGCTCAGGCCGGGAAGCCCTCTTTGAACTGCGCTGCAGGTTGACCATCTGCCATGTGGATTGTGTATGTAGATGTAGGCAGAAATGACTCAACGAGATTTTTTCGGCAAGCACAGTACATATACAAATGTAAGTACATCGATGGTCATCATACATCCTGAGATGTAATGTGATCACACCTTGCATGCGCCGGCTCAGATGCCATGCTGAACCAACTCCAGTCGTGATGTGTGGTTTACGAAAATAAGGGGCCCCTCATTCGTCACAGGCGCTGCTGCGTACTCTCCGTGCTCGTCACCTTCGAGGGGACGTGGTCTCCTATAGCTCCTTGGTCAGTGCCTGCGAAAACTGGCAAGTTTCCTCTTCAGTGCTGCAAGACATGCAGCTTGCGAAAGTGCCATGCGACACGACTGTGCAGAATTCCATGATCAGCGTTTGGGAGAGTGGCGGATGGCGACAGGCACAGTCTTTCTTGTGCTGGAGTGGTTTGGCCACCATACGGGCCGACGCAATCTCTTTCAATGGCCTCATCCGTGCAGCTCAGCATGGCTACTGGGCCAAGGCCCAGCTGTTCTTGCGGCTGCTTCCAAAGCAGACGCTGGCAGCTGATGTGATTAGCTACAATTCGGCCATTCAGGCTTGCGGAGGTGTGGCCGAATGGCAGCAGGCCAGTTCCTTGCTTCAAGGATTTGAGTCAAGGCAGCTTGAGGCAGATGCAATGGCCTTCAGCACTACAATGGGTGTCCTTGCAGAAGCTGGTCAGTGGCCAAGTGCGCTCCGCCAATTGGACAAGCTGCAGCAGTTCCGGATGGAGTCTGATGTGGTTGCTTGCAACATGGTTCTTTCGGCAAGCGGCCTCGCTGAGATGGAAGCCAGGAGAATCTTTGGCGAACTGCGTGCCCGGAAGGTGGCAAACATCAAGACCTACAACTCCATGATTAGCCTGGCATCGCAGCGTGGGGACTGGCAGCAGTCTTTGTTACTGCTTGCTGACATGGCGGACGGTACTGTCCAAGCAGATGGGGTGACCCACAGCTTGATCGCCGAGGCATGTGCCAAGGCCCTGGAGTGGCAGCAGGCTGTCTGCTCAATGGGTTTCGTAGCCAAGGCAACCCAACGGGACTTATTTCACTTGCGTTTGCGGCTCTGCAAGGTAGCTAGCATGGCATCTTGACGGAATTCCTACACATTTACGTACTGAACACTGGACTTGTTATGCCTGGCCGAGTCAGATGCAGAAAGCTTTGCGCCCATATGGTGTTTCAGAGGGTTGATCTGCAGATGATCTGGAATGATCTGCAAAACCCAAAGATTGGTACGACCGTCGGCTGATAAAAACAAGGCACCCTGAGACGCACCGAGGCTGTCATCCCAAGTTCCTCCAGCAGCCAGACACCTGGAAGACAAGAAAGCAGACGCAGCAGAAGCGTAATTTGTCATGAACCACACCAGTGACACGACTGTGGGGCCACACAAGGCCACTTGCTGCACATGACAAGACATTCGCACCATGGTGTGTCGCATTGCTTAGAACTTTACTTCCTTTATTCAGACTGTCCCCAGTCTCGATGTTTTATTATGCAGGGCGCTGTTTCATTGCAGAGTTTTATACCGTATACTCGTACGTTGCAGATACTTGCAGATACTGCAGACCCAATGAAGACATGACGCCACTGCCCAGGCCCCCATTAGTGGAGACCGACATGGCTGGAGCCTTATCCACCCTTCTGTTTTCGGCGTAGAGGTGCCTTCGAATTCACGGGCTTCGCAGCCCCTTGCGTGCGGATTTTCGGCCGTCTGCATGTTCCGCGCAGTTCCCGAAGAAGAACATCGCTCCTGCAGAGGAGGGGGTTCAGGAGGCGAGCCATGGAAAGGCTGGGCTGAGGTTTCAGGCTTCGGGTGCTTTCTGAAAATCTCAGGGGATAGAATCCTGGTGGAGCCTGTCCAGGACCTGTTTGGTTTCATTCCTTGAGATTAGAAGGCTGATGCGCTCATGCCGTGATTGATCTTTCCGACAAAGGCACCTGCCGAGCTTGTTTAGGGGGGGCTTCCCTAAGAAATAGAAAGCCCACCTGATGCTCGCTGGCCCTGGCCTACCGATTAATCCGCAAGCTTGCTTATGACAAGGGCATTTCGTTGCAGTCGCCCGCCTGAGCTTCCTGGCCAGTTTTTGTAGGAGGCCTTGTTGGAATGCCCATGAAGGCGATATTCGGGGGTGGTTACGGTTTAGGGTTTAGGGTTTAGGGTTTAGGGTTCAACTACTGTCCTGAATGGTGCTGAATGGTGTTGTTTGCGTGTGGTCCTTGTACGGCCGGCTGTCCTGAGGATGTCGCGGCATATAGCAAGTGCCGCTTTGTCCAGGCAATTAAGTCTATTAGACCTGTATTCTCATACACTTATATAGCTTCCAGTACATATGTATGTATATATACATATATATATATATGCACCATATATATATATTTGTATATAGATATATACCTATGGTGAAAGAGAGTACCCTACACAGTCTCAAGCCTATATGATTTTTATACGATATCGCGATCTATCTATCTATCTATCGAACTATCTATGTACCTATCTATCTATCTATCTATCTACATGCTTACATAGCTATATATCTATGTATCTGCAATCGATACTCTATCCGTCTATCTAGAATGAATATATATATATATATATATGTTTATGTGTTTGTTTATGTTTCTGCCTAGTCTTTCTATGTATGTATATACCTATATGTCTTTAAGCCTATAGTCTGTTTACTCCTTTTCACGCGTATACCTATGTCAACTTCTATACTCTATGCTTATATTGATATCTATTTCTACATCTTTATCTCTCTCTCTCTCTCTCTCTCTCTTACTCTCTCTGTCATATACCTTTATACCAATTCGTCTGTTCATGATCCCCCCCCCCCCCCCCGCGGTGGTTCGTGTGGCTTTAGGGTTAAGGTGACGTCTTAGGGTTGAGTGGGGTAGGCGTAGGGTCGTCGGACCCGGGATCGAACATCACATATCTTTCTCTTTTTACCTGTTTACCGATTATATACCAAGACATGCGTATATCTTCATACGTTCGTATGTATGCATGTATGTATGTATGCATGTGGGTGAATAAGCAAAACACTTATATGTATACATATATATATATATACACACACCTATCTCTGGCTTTCTCTCTGTATCTATGTATGAGGCTGTTTCTCTACTGTACATATCTATATCTCCTTATCTCTGTGTCTCCATATGCCCCCCCCCCCCCCCCCCCCCCCCCCCCCCCCCCCACTCCCCACTTTCCTCGCAAAAGCAAGAACTTCGAGGTATCTTAACACCCCACCGGTGGCTTTTGCCACAGGCTGCTGCTGAAGATCCCCCCCCGCCGCCGGCAGACCGAAAACGGAAGAGCCGCTTGGACGTCGGAAGCCGGTAGTTCAGAGCTAGGGTTTAGGGGTTTAGGGTTTAGGCTTTAGGGTCTGGCTATATGGAGCGAAGGGTGGTTTAGGGTTTGTTGACGTTTACCATTGAAGGTTGGGTGTAAGGGTCTGGCCTCGTCTTTGTCTCTAGAATCCTTTCTGAAGGATCCATAGCAGGAGAGATCCTTGGTTACATGAGCATGGAAGCCGTGCAAGAGCATTTGCAACCGCTCATGGAATTGTATGCTAAGTGTTGCGCTCTGGCCCTGAATCCCTGAATTTTATCTTGAAAAAGCAGATAGGACGTGTGGCAGTGTAAAAAGACGGGTGTTAAGATCGCAACGCGGTCATAAAGTCCGCTTCAAGCACTGACCCGAATCAAGCATTGCGATTCAAGCACACGCGATACAAGCACCGGAATTCGAGCACCGGGGCGGTTCGAGAACTGGCGGTTGAGTCCTGATTCAAGCGCTCGCGACTCAAGCGCTGGTGATTCAAGCTCGTGCGATTCAGCCGTGCGCGATTCAAGCACGAATCCCGATTCAAGCACTACCGCTTCCAGCACTGGCGATTTGGCTCCCCCCCCCAGCCCATCACCCCAGGGTCGTTGCGTAGGCGCTGCCTCTGTAGGAGCCGCCGACAGGCGGGACCCCCACAGCATTGGTCTGCGGCTCCTGCAAGCGATCAGGGCGGGGTCCCACAGGGAGGGGCGGGGGGGAGGGGCGTTGGGAAGGAGACCGGAACCTGCGCTGCTTGTTCGACGCCTCTCGGCCGGAAGCCGAGGCGAATTTAACCCAAAATTTGTGCAGCCAGCCTCGATTCTCGACGCACGCTATCCAAATCCCCGTACGTTTAAACGGAACAAGGGCAGTGTTCGATCTTTCCGTATGGTCACAACCGATCATTTTTGATCATCTTGAGCCACGAGTTGGGTGCCACTTGCACTGCCATGCCGAGGATTGGAAAGCACATACTTGCAGGACATGCCGTCGGGAAGCCACGATTCCCATGAGCGCAGGACGTCAAAGTGATTGGTTGCTTTACCAGTAGAGTTACGTGTTTCTTGCGCATCAACCAAGATAATCAAGCGTGCTTAAGGAACGACATGCTCCCTGTATCAAATCTGAGGTCATTGGTACACAGGTCTGTGGATGATGCTCTGGCATAACACTTGCACAACGTTTATGCGTATGAGGGGCAGAGACTCTTCCACGCAGCTTCTAACCTCGAGGAGTTCAACCACCCTCCTCTGCTTGGCAGGAACACGCGCAGCGCGAGCCGGCAGGCGCAACGTCTCAGCAAATTTCTAATCTGTGCAGACGCGAGTGGACGTTGGATTCGGACGACTTTGAGCAAGCCCTAAGAAATCTTATTAAGCGGTTTGCCACGTGACAGTTGGAGTGTAAGATACAGATTCGTGCCGTTGTGCCTCTACTTGTCTTGCTGCGGTCACACCGCCTTAGTCAACTCCCGCCACCGTGAATGTTAAAAGGCTCCGGCTGCCGCGTTGAAGGAGGGGGCACCGGAGCGGCGCCGCAAATGGCAGAGGAGACACAGTGAAGTGTCGAGAGTGCATCCCACGGGCTTGCACTCACTTAACAGCCATCTTTGTGCCGTCGGAAATTCACAAACCTCCAAAAAATCATCAGCCTAAACTTCCCTTGTGAATGTCTGGTGAAGTTTGGGGTTTTGCATAGGAAAAAGGTCACACCAAATGATGCGTAAAGGCCTATGCACATATATCTCTGCATGTACACACACAGAGAGGCTCTTAAATGGTAAAACCGCATCCTGACATGTGCAAGGGGCTGACAGGTTGGCATATTAGTCAAGTCGCTCCTGCTCTGTGGAACGCCGTGCAGGATTGAGAGGACTGATGGGTCGGCCTATTACATTGATGTGGACAGCGGAGAGGTGGCTCCTGTCGAGTGGACAGTTCCTTGCGAAGAGCGTGATTATTGTGTAACAGAGTCATGAAGACCATCGAGCCATCAGTTGACATCAGCACGTCGTGCTTGCCAGCATGGCGACGACTTGTGCAGCAATAAACAAACGCATCAACAAGGCTTGTAATGCTATTCAAACCTGCTCGATGCAGATGCGTGTCAGCATGCCGCCGGATTACAAGGCCGAGATTGAACGCCAGTTCAGTGAGCCTGAGCTTGCATATATATATATATATATATATGACATTAATTATGTGTGTATATATATATGCAGCATATATATATATATATATATATATATATATATATATATATAAATGCAGCATGACGTTGGGCGCACGCGCTCCGCAGGATTCAAGACACAACGCAACGTCTTTTGAATCCCGGATCTTGTTCATCTTCAGTTTTCTGCAGTGTTTCTCCTCGGCCACTATGTGATGTTTTGCATACATGTCATATATATATATATATATGCTACCCCCCCCTCCAAAACCTACCGTTTTCTAATTTTCTACACTTGCGTGACATCAAAACGCTTTAAAATTGAGACCGACTCCCTAAATCCTTTAACCATATTCGCACAATTTTCCATTGCATAAACCCCTATTTCCGAAAAAATGAAGCCTGTTCCCAAAATCCTGCTCGTTAGGTCCGAAAGCACGGGATCCCTACATCGTATTCCCTAAATCATATTCCCTCAGTCCCTAAATCTGGGGCGGGCGGGCGGGGGGGCCGTGGGTCACTAAATGGCTCACTAAGTCTTCTCGCTAAAGCCTAAAGAGCGGGGTCCCTAAATCATATTCCCATGATTTT